AGACATCTCTTGTCTCCTGTCCTAACATCCCATGAACTGACACATTTTAATATTGTAGCAAGAATTTCTTGTTCAAGTTCACAAGAAGTTGGTTTTTAATGGTTTTTGAGTCCAGTTTGGCTCTTTTGGGAGAATCTGTCCTGCTGTACTGAATCTTTCAAAAAGGCCATGGGTGGCACGTATCTTCTTCTGGCTGACTCTCCGAAGTGGAATCCAGTTTGGGTGTGTTAGCGGTGCTGTGGGTGCACCCAGCTCAGTGACCTATATTCTAGAATATATGTCATTGGCCCAGGTCTTCTTGAAGGCAGTTCTAACAGTACCTGCACACTTCACAGTGATTCAATTAACCAGCTCCCCTCTCACCATTGGTGACATTCAAACTAACGAACAAATAAAAAAAAAAACTGCATTAGGTACAAAAAATTCCAACCTCAATAATCCAGGTATAAAATCCAACATTTTTCAGTCAGGTCATCTGGACAATTTCTTTTTTTGTGCTGAATTGTTTCGCCTTTAATCCGGAAGGCTTCATCAGTCAATGAAACACACAACAAATCTGATTCTTCCCCCATCAGCTTACTCCAAAGTGGAACAAACCAGTTCTGCTTGTGATAAGATGGTCTCTTTGGTACGCCCCTCCTACATTGCCAGCCCTCTTCCTTGTTGACAGTCTTGTCAAACTGGTTGAAAACAACAAAATCCATGCACAATAATCCAGGTATAGAGGATATGATATTTTATACCTGGATTATTGAGCATGGACTTTGTTGTACTTGTACCTAGTTACATCCCACCACTGTGTGTACACGGCTGCCTCTTGTAGCTGCAGCTGACAGTGATTGTGAGAGTGTGGATGTGGATGAGCTCTCCATCCTGCCTGTTCTTTACAGAGAATGATAATTATCAGTGTTCTCTGGTAATCTCTGATCTGTTACAATTTGTAATTCAGTCTTTGATTTGAAACAGAAGTTATTTTCTCTCTGCTGTTCAGCGGCTCAGGCGCACAGATT